ATAAAGTTCCCTTTTAACACAGAGGGTCCCCAGCAAAGGCACCTTGGGGTACGGGCTGCCAGCTCGGAGGGGCGATTTGTGCCCGTCCTCCACGCGGCCGTCAGCGCCGCAGCCGAGCTCCCCGGCGCCTCCGGTCCGGGGGGGTCGTTTTGAAAGCCCCCCCGCGCAGAATTTGTGCCGTTGGCTCAGCCTCCCCGCGCGCTCCTGCCCGTACCCCCGCGCATCGCGTGGTTCGTCAGCGACGATCCCGCTCCCCTTGGTACGACGCTACCGGCGCCGCTTTCCAGCGCGCAACTGCTAAACTCGTTGCAGGCAATAACGCTTCGCTGCGGAAGCGACACGCCGAGAAAAATCACACTCGGAAGCAAATTTTTTTGACCAGTGCCTCTCTCGCCGCAGCGGCACGAGCACGGCCGGGGCTGCCGGAGGGGACTCAGCAATTTTGAACTCTCCAGCAACCGGCTCGTGCTTGCTAAGAGAGCCCTTGCCAGGGGAATTTTGGCTTTACGTTTCAATTCTATTAAAAGAAGCTTCTACAGAAAAGCGAGTTCAGAAACAGCCAGCGGGCTGATTATTACGAAAATCATTAAAAGCCATACCGAATCTCCCAGAAAGCGACTAGTGTAAATCAGCGCAGCTCCGGGGATTTCAGTGGGACTACCGTCATTTGCGCAAGCTGGGAATTAAGCCCGTTGTTTCTATCTTGAGCGTTACGTTCACACCTTAAGAAAATAAACTGAGAAATTACTAAAGGAAAAAAATAAATTGGCTTATTCCCATCCCAAGCTGGATAATACACAAAAAGGAACTAATTCCATAAATAAATAGACTTGAGAAGCTCTAACAGTTATAGGTGACACTTCCCAGGGAGCTCAGCACCTTTCTGGGTCGCGGCTCAGGCGACCGAACGCTGCCGTGAGAAATAAGTTGGAGGCAAACACGGAGACGCTGCTTTGGAGTTGTGATCCGAGTCCAGGTCTGCAGCTATATACGTAAAGCCAGGCCTGAAGGTTTAAAACTCTGCCCCAAAACTTCCTGGCGCTGCCTTTGAGTCGTGAAAGAGAAAAGGCAGGAATTTATTTTCCATGCTTTCTAACTGCAGTCTGCTTTAAGCGGCACTGATTTCCCATTTCTGAGCTACCCTCTTGTAGCTTGAGGACAGAAACTTTTCTCTGGGAATCAGGATTTTCCCATAGACTCGGGAGGACGTTTCCAAGAAGTGCCTGACAGTATGAATTCTGCAATAAAAATCCCATAAATAATAAATAATAAAAAGAGCTGTTGATACCGTAATGCGCGTAACAACAGTACCTCGGGGTTTCAGGCTGACCTTCACCAGCATTGCAAAATATCCCTTTCTGTGTTATTTTAGTCCCTTGAATGCACGTTCACATTGCATGCATGCTTATATGAATTCAGAAAGTGTGATTTAGGAAGAAAAAACTCCCTTATATGACTTTAAGTTGGCATTCACTCCATTAAATGAAAATATTTCCAGGATAATGTGAACATTTTGCTCTCTGGAAGGGGAAAAGCAAGCGATTCGGGCAATTTCCAAGCAGGTAACTCTCAGCTCTTTCGCAGATGCCACGGCGGAGACCTATCTGTCAGACTGTGACCCCCCCCTGCGGCCCCTGCCCATCGCCCAGCACCCCCCCAAGCCGGCGAAGCGCTCGCGGGCGGCGTTTTCCCACACCCAAGTCATTGAACTGGAGCGAAAATTCAGCCACCAAAAATACCTGTCGGCCCCCGAGCGAGCCCACCTGGCCAAAAACCTGCAGCTCACCGAGACCCAGGTGAAAATCTGGTTCCAAAACAGGAGGTATAAAACCAAGAGGAAACAGGTCGCCTCCGAAATCAGACTGGACACGCGCCTGGCCGGGCAGAAAGCGGCCGAGCTCCCCGCAGCATCGCTGCTCGCGCTGCGGGGCAGCTGGCAGTCCCTGCCTTGCCTCTACTACTTAAACGGCTGGAGTCCCTCCTGGTGGTAGCTGCTTTTTGAAGCAGAAAGCATCCTTTTCTCTTAAAAATGTTGTTTTTTGTTTGTTTGTTTTTTAAATAACTGCGTCGCCTTTTCTAGTGCTGATCAGGAGAGGGAGACCCCGATCCCAGTAACGACCAGCATCTTCTAGCAGCCACAAAAGCCTCTCTCGTCGCTAACAGTAAAGAACAAAAAAAAACCCAAAAAAGCCAAAAAACCCCCAAGGTTTTAAAAGCGTGTAATTCGGTATGCTTGACAGCACTGCTCGGGGGTCGACCTGCAGCTGTAAAATATTGCAGGCACTTTTGGGGGCAGAAAAGGCTGGTCCGGCCCCAGAGACAGTGATCGCCCCTCTCTGCCCCTCCTAAATCGCCTGT